TAATTCGAACCTAATCAATTGAAGATTTCTTGTAATTTTCAGAAGGATTTTATTCCAAGTTAGACAAACATTCAAAAAATGCAACATAATGAAGATCTATTTATACATGTAGTGACACATATTACGAGTAAATGCTTCTGCTCCAATCTTATGACCAGTTCCATTGAAAGCAGGCTATTAAGTTCGAAAGATAACATGTTCATATTAAAGTTGAATATTAATAAGCCGGATGCTAAGACAGATTGCATGTGTATATTGTATATGATAACAAAATAAAAAAATAGCTGTTCTGTATTCAACGTCTACTAAATTAGACACTGCTTGACGTAAAAGCTGAAGATTCCAATTCTGTCCTGTGTAGTGATAGGTGAGCATTGATTAGTAAATAGACGAAATAGCAGTTTGCAATTTGCTGGTTTCAAATACTTTTTCAGCTCTTAATAAAGACTACTTTTCAATCCATCAATTATACGCAAGTCACTTAATGGGATGATGACAAACCTGTTCATCAATATTTACATATAATTTTATCTAATCTAATATTTGAAATGCTTACTTACATGGGTACTATTTGTTTATCTAATCACTAACTCTATACGTGTGTCTATCTATGACTCCTGTATATATGATGTCGATTTAGATTAAACATAAGCCAAGTAACATAAACTGTACACTTTTATTTACGTTATGATTGGACACCACTTACTAAATCTGTATTAAAATTCTAAAATTAGTGTTTATTGGTATACTGGCTGAATAAATATACTTATAACATGTGTAATACACAAAGTTTTCGATTACTACAGTAAATAATGATGTTTTATTTCTATATTAACTTAAAATATCGTAGATATATCGGGGAATTCACTTCATACTATTTCACTGGGTTAAAGTTTCACAACTATAAAACATACATAACCTAGGAAAGTTGAAAATGCGCCCAGATTGCAAGTATTTGTTCATATATGTATTCTAATCATTGTTTGCATATGATAGGAACAACCAAATTAACAGGATTGATAAAAAGAATAATGATATGCGTAAAAAATATCGAATTGATTGATAAAGGTGTGAATCCTCATCGTAAAATGTGGTTGGGGCAGATGTTATGCATCATGCCCTTCCACTTCTTATTGCTCTATGCAGGGTGGCATAAAAGTAGACTAGAATAGGTTGAAGAGTGTCTAAAATAATTATATGGCACCAGGCCATGAAGTGGTTTACTGATAAATTGAGCTGTGTTGGAAAATGTGGACTTCCTGGTTGTGGCATTTGAAGTCGTAATAATGTATGGTTGAAAAAGTTGAGTAATATATTGCAAAATAAATCTTATAAGTACAGATGCATTCATTCGCTACTTTCCTTTAAATCTTTAGCTTAATTTCACTTCATAGTATTCAATCTTCAGTTCTACTCGTTCCTTTCGATTTATAAATCTTACATTTTACTTTCAACTCCAGTTGACATCATTATTTCCTCTCTGTTTTTCATCCTGTTAACATCCTCTGTCACCACGCTAATAGGGAGTGTAAGGCTTGCATCATTCCACATTCACCCCAGGCCCTAAGTCACCCATTACTGACCATCTCACTGCCAAGTCGATCAAAATATCCATAATTTAGGGCTTAATATGTTTATTGAGCTTCGTAGAATCTTCTAAGTGAGCCTAATTGATGTATCCCAATAGTGGTTTTAAATCCATTTTAAGTTCGTTTGTTTAGGTGTTCGTAGGTCAACACATTTATGTAATTCTGTGACGTCCAAAAGTGTGTTAAATACAGTGAAGCGTGTAGTCGTCTGTCGACTGGTTGAAAGTCTTACTTAATATTGGCCACAGATTAGTTAGTATATTAACTGAAACATTCCCAAACGTCTATTGGGCTTATACTCAGTAGCATTACTTACTTTGCAAGTTGATGGATTACCTTTAGAGAACAGTGAAATTTGTTTCATTTCGTTACACTTTAACTAGTCTCATGTCACTGCCGGTAAACTAACCAGTAGTTTAAATTCATTGAACATCTTTACACTCTAACTACCAAGGTTCTTAGAACTAACTACATTTGTTTCGTTTCAGAGTTGAGTCTAAAATATATTAATAGTGTACATCACAGTGTGTATTTTTCCAATACATATCTTCCATTCCTTGAATTAACATTTCTTTACCAAATTTAGTACAAATTACTTGCTAATATGCTGCACTTTACTATCATAATAGAGCGTTCATGTACCATCAAAGATAGTAACATTTCTTATCTCAGGCATCACTAGTGACCATTAAACTGAGCTTTTAATGTATATGATGTATGCACGTCGTAAGTCTGTCTGATTTGATAGAAGCTGCATTAAAAATCAATATAAATCTTTACCATAATTTTCAATGTCCGTATTGTACAAAATTATTGTTAATTAGCATCATGAATTTGCGTTACTAAATAGTCCTGCAACAGGGTAAGGCAAAATAAAGTGTTTGCCTATTACTAACATTACTACGTATGTATATTAAATAGTTTCGTCAAATAATTTATACATACTTCGGTGTTCATAGGTTTTTTCGGATCTAACTCGTATTTTTGTTAGTAGCATCAGCTGAGATAAACATATACCATATGATTAAGATTTTTGTGAACCGATCAAGACTCTCATTTTACGATCGATACTATTAGGAAGAAAAATGAAACTTGGATAGGCGGACATATATATATCACGAAAAACATAAAAAGCGTACTTCAATTTATGTGATTGGAGGCTGGATCAAACTATCTTGGGCATGTATACAACCATGCTAAAATGTGGACAGAAATGCATGTGTTTCTAATCTATAAATTAAAATCTTTTTTGTTTACCATACACTTTACTAATATAAAATACATATGCTTAATTAGTATACTGATGATAGTAACAACGACGTCTTGTTTAACATTGAAACGTTTGCGGAATAGTGTTAATTGAATAGTGTAAGTTTTAAACATCGGAAAATAACTCATTACAAATTCAAAAAAGAAGACTTTTGAGGTGTTTCCGTTTCCATGTCACTTTCAGAATTTAATTAATCTATTTCCATCGGTATAGTGTTTTTTTGAATAGATGTCTTTATTCTACTTACATTTACAACCCTACTGAACCCCACACTTGCCAAGATTCATATCACGCTTTGTCTAGGACACATCAGGTGGATATCATGCGATTGTAGTGTAAATGTTTCTACTGTGACTCAAGTTCAATACTCATTACTGAAAAATGTAAACATTTTAACTAATTGTATATATATGCTAGAAATTAACTTTGGCAAAATGTAATACTTCACCCTTTCTTTGTAGTTTACTTAAAATATGTTCAACATATCTGCATGAATAATTGAGAATACAATAATAATTATGTTACAATACATAATTTACTTTCTTATATTCGAGCTTCCTTCTGATATCATCTCAATCTGAAATAACCCTTTTATTAAATGACACCTTAAAAGCCGGTTACTCTCATCGTTAGCGTGATTCATACCATAGAAACTTAATAAGAAGGACTTTATGAGCTGTGATACCTAATGATTTTGTTTCATAAAATATCTCATATTAAATGAATTCGATGAATAAATCATCTTAGTACTTAAAATTCCTGGGCTCCTGAGTTGGTAGTAAGCAATACTGAAGAGTTCGTAATTAGGACTAAACTGTTGTCTGGTGCTTTATGCAAAATTATGGTGTATCAACTGATAAAATTGGTTCGCAAAATAACATAGTATCTATGTAGTTGTTTTTTGTTCTGTATTCAAATGTTAAATAACCAATGTTTCTTTCGATTTTATCGACTTTGATCCATCAAGTAGATTTTGAACGGTTGTAAAAACATTTCTATGAATAAACAATCCTAAAATAACAGTCTACAATTTGATGAAATCTCTATATAAACACTTAAGTAAAATTTATCACTTGTTAAGTTCATTGATCAATAAAGAAAGAAAACCCTTTGCTTAATCACAAACAGTGATGCATAGATTGTACTGAATTCACTGGGATACAGTGACATGGGAACATGATTCATAATAACTTGGTCATTTACATAATACAACTAACTAATTTAGTAAAGACTGATTTATCAGACTTGCTATTTCCTAGTTGTAAAGAGCTAGCGATTTCGACCATTTGTCACTTGGTTTAACAAAGTTCAAATCTATGATTCGATGATTGCAAGTCAAGAAATTTAACAATTGAGTTAATGTCCTACCATTCTGTTTTTATTACAACAGATAAAAAACGATGCATATTACAAATTAATAGTTGATTATCAGAAGGGGTTTTTGTGGAGATTTAATATTTTCATAGTTGAAAGCGTGAGTCAATTAAAGCTAGACCATCATGGAAAACCTGGAAGCACTGGACGGCCGTTTCGTCCTATTATGGGACTCCTCAGCAGCGCGCATTCACGTTGATTGTTCAAACTGATAATGAAATTTCAATGGATAACAGTGACTCAAAAAATGTAAACTAGTAATGTAAAAGGGGCCAAACGTGAATAAATATCAGAACATGGATCAACAACTGGCTGAGAAAATGTTTTATTCTAATTTCAGCAATGTAATAGGCACTAGCTTTGATATTAAAATTTAACAGAACAAACATATATAGAAAGTACTTAACCTATAAAAAACCGTAAGACAAGGTTCGTTGTGTAAATTTTCTATCAATTTATAGACTAATTTATCTGACTACAAAGTTCATTTTCTCATTTTGAACATCAGTTCCATTCTGAAAAATAACACCTTTCTTTTCCAAATCATGAATTTAGTGTTGTTATACTATAAAATTGAAAAAACATAAAAACAAATACCAAATGAAGGGGTGCACAAGATCACGGGTTGATTGAAGTTAGATATTAACACCGTTGGATGCCGCTTCAGTGGTCTAGAGGTTAAGCGTTCATGTGTGAGACCAAAGATCCTAGTCTAGAGTCCTGCATGAATGATCGTGGGTGCTCACTTCTGAGGGGTTCCATACTAGAACGGAACGGTTATCCAGTGCTTCCAGGTTTTCACTGGTGTTCTAGCTTAGGTTGACTCATGAATTCGACTATTAAAATACTAAATGAACAATCTGTAGAAATTTGAATGAATTTAACGAATTTATAAACCTTTTTTAGTAGAAATATTACCCAGGAATTCTTGATCCATGGACAAAAATAATTGCGTATCCATGACGTGTCCTGATAATTTTCCAATTTATTATTTCTTCACAATAAATATCTATTCTGTAATAATCAGCGTTGAATATTTTAAATGTTCTCAAATCATTAAAATACAGCTAATTTCCTCTTTAACCCTGAAATCTAGACTCTCTCATCTCATTATAATCGGGTAGTTTAGCAACATGTTTTAACCAGACATTTAATAATCATTTTCTACAGTGTTACATTTATGTCACATACCTTTATCATCCTCAGGTTATAGATTATCCACTATTTATTATTCAAGCGTAATGACTGGTTGTTCAAGTTTATTCGTACGTTGACTTCAATCATTATAATTACTACTTTTTCTAATCAGACCCCCTTTTCGTTTGTTCTAACTTCTTTATTTTTTTTCCTGTAATTGAATTGCAGGCAGTAAATAATAATGGAAACAGAAGAATTGGAAAAGGAATTAATTCAATCAATTCGACCTAGTTTAAATGAATTATTACGAATATGGGATTATGTGGGTGAGATATGTTGTCTTTTTTAATTTTCCTGTAATCCATTTTTGATTGGTTTTTCTTATCGAATGTTATAAAACAAGAATTCTTTACTCCCTATGAAATACGTGCGCTCTAAAGAAGTAACTCTATTCATATTTAAAAACTTCATTATGTCAAATGTTTTTTCTTCTTCTTCTTCAGTTTTTGCATTAATATTTCTGCTCATTGATAAGATCGTGTGGTTTGGTTAGAATTCTCACTTCTCCTTGAGAAAAGTAAAGACTAAACTCAATGTAGTTACAATTGATTGATCACTGGGTGGTGATCAATGTAGGGACAAATGCTTTTGAGTATGAAATCTGTAGAGAAATAGGATAGAACAACTACATAATTGTGGGTTAAGCTATTGAGTCAATAACAGGTTATTAACTATTTATTGTGAGACATGAAACTGTAGTGGAATTCTTGCTTCAACAGACCTAAAGTGCCATTATCTGCAGTTTCTTTTCAATAATAAAGTTCCCAAACGTCTTGATTTAATCATCTTTATATCGATTATGTAGTCAAATTATGGCACAGGTACACATGTTTAACATTTTACTTACTTCTGATATTAAATTAGGTAATTAATGAATTACATCAACTGAATTCCACTTTATGAATAATCTCGGTTTTTCTTCTCTGAGTCCACATCATCCATCTCTTTGAGTTATAAAAATGCTTAGTTAGACGTAATTTTTGATGTTGTCCATTCTCTATCATTGAATGCTCTTTTTCGGATTCTGATTTTTCAAAAATAAATTGGGATTTTAACATGTAAAGTATTTTATTCTTCTTTATTTAATGATTATTGTATGCAGTTGATGAGAAACTACAAAATGACATAATTATTGCAGATAGATATACCAAGGGTCGGCGGCCTATGCTCCATTGGGAGTAACAGGCGTAAGTAAGTAAGTAAGGTATACGAAGACAACTAAGTGTATAGACTTTAAGTCTGAACTGTCATTTTTGTTATTGGCACTCTACCAATATATAATCTTCTTTTTTTGGGAACTTAGCTAGTGGTGTGGTGAACGAAGATTGAAGTATGAGAAACTCACTTGTTGTTTCATTCAAAAATCACACAGTGCCTTCCTAAAAATATGAAAATCATACATTAAATGCATCATTTGCACATCTTCCTTGAGTTGTCCTTTAAATACTCTGTAATTCTTCCAGTTCTGTTGTTATGCCGATTAATTTCTGTTTTCCTTCCTGTTCTCCTGACTTCAATCTTCTGTTGGTAAGTATTCCGATTCCAATTCCTGCTACATACTACTAATATCTGTCCTCATCAGTAGCCTGCACCACAGTAGTGTTCACGTCATATAATCTTATGATTTGTAGTACATTATTTTATATTGAAGTATATAAAGTGATATGTACACATGGATTACTGTTATTTCTTGATAATCAATCCCAAGTAAGTAGGTTTTTTAAGCATCGGTATATTTTTGAAGTAAGTCTATGAATATTAGTAAATAAATTTTAATCAATCTCATTCTTACATCCTATCAACCAATAAATGTATTGCGTTCATTCAAATTAATGACATGACATTAAAAACTTCCTTATGGTGATTGATTCAGTGACTTGTTATGAATGTTTAAACTTACGTTTTATGCTATTTAGTGCACGTTAAGTAAGAGAACATATGAAATATTCTCTGTATTGAAAGCTTTAAACTCTTTCATCTTAATCAAATATTCGCTGATATTTTTTAAATAGTTTGTATGAATTTGAGGTATATATATATATATATTTCTTACCAAAATACATTTATGTAATCTATTTGGTAATTGAATCGCTCGATATTTAACCGACTGATTGAAATTTTTAGCCTTGTTACCAAACAGTTCATGCTAAACAGCTAGTTAGTATCACAACCTCTTATATACAAACAGTTTGACTCAAAGTTGAACACATAAACTTGTGCATGGTGAGGGGATCTTATTGATTTCCGGTATTCCAGGGCGTAAAGGTATCTTATATTAAGTGGTTAACTTGACTCAAGCTTGTATCAGGACTCTTTTTGAGTATATTTCTGCTTTATCTTGTGAATACACATATATACATACATATATGTATCTTGTATTGTTGTTTTATTATTATTAGTTATTATTATTATTAATTAAAAAATCCTCACCCAGGTTATAATAAATTGGAACGCTCACAACGTCTACAACATTTTGTTAAAAAACTTGAAACTGTTCTATGCGAAGTAATTAAAGAAGAAAATTCTGCACGTCTTATAATGGAACAAAAAATTGAATTAAGACGTAGAGAAATCGCTGATATGTGTCAACAATTAAGTTTGGCACCATTCCTACCTGAACGTGGACTTACCTCCAGTGAATTAATGAGAGTACGTATGTTAATCTTTGTTTTTCATTCTATACTATTTTTTTCCCAAATTTCTTTACCAATAAGAAAGACTTTTCTTACAGTTTAAGTAACATAAATATAAACATTTTGACTGATGTAAGAATTTGAATTTGAATAATCGATTTGAACTTCAGTCAAAAGCTGTGGTTAAAAAAAAGATTTTAAGTAAATTGAACGGATATTGACCATTGAACACTGTGCTATGAGAATTTCTAGAATAGATAAAAATAATTTTGTAAAAAAAACTATCCCGAATTCTATGCACTGGATTACATATAAAATCTAGTGAAGATATGCGGAAGGAAACACCTTTTACCACAGAATTTTCGATTTTTTAAAGTAGTGTTTTATACCAAAAATAAAATTGATAGATTTCAAAAGTGATTTTTTGTTTCATAAAATTTGGGTATGTTGGATTATTTTCCTTCAATGAGGTTATTAACAAATAATACCATAAGATATGTGACGGGGACAATAACTGCCTTGATAAAATACTGGTTGTTTTTATTTCCTTAACAAAAAAACAAATAGTTTTATTGAAAACTTAGCGAAAAACGCTTTGTGTTACAAAGACATACCTACTAGGTTTGCGTTTTAATAACATTATTAATATTCTATGAAGCGTAGGTATATGTCTAGCTGACGAATAGTTGCATTTTAGGTCGAAATACAAGTCAAAATAAGTAAGGCTGTAACTAATTAATAATATTAAAAATCATCGTGTATTGACTTAAATCATCTGATACCGACTTAATGATCCCGTGTTTGTCCAATGAACTTAAGAAAAATCTTGTTTTCTATCTCCTATGAACTGAAGTGGGTTTTTTTGGCAAGGTTCCTTTTCATGGGATTGAGTTACTAACCCTGTGCCCAACTCCCCTTTATCCGGGCTTGGGATCGACAGTAACCTTGGAACTCCAGGCGGAGGTACAGGTATTTATGATCAACTTTCTATGAGTAATACTCCAGATTCGTTGGCTGGATTCTATCAGCAATAACTTACTGTGGGAGAGAATAAACCAGCTTTCAGATGAAGACGAAATTAGGAAAAGGTGCTGGAGGTGGATAGGACATAGATTGCGGAGACCATCAGATTGCATCACGAAGTAAGCCTTAACCTGGAATCCTCAATACAAAAAGAAAAGAGATAGACCAGCGGATACAGTGCGCTAGGAAACGGAAGCAGACATCAATAGAATGAACAGCTCTTGGTAAAACTGGAAAGAAGAGCCAAAAAAAGAAATAGTTAGAGAATCCTGGTGGGCGTTCGATGCTCCACGAGGGGTAACAAATGTATGTGAAGTAAGTGATGAACTGATAAGTGCTTTCATTAAGTAGGACTAAAATGTATTCTACTACATAGGTAGGTCTTTATTGATCAACAGTTTTCAGTGTTTCTCCAAGTGATATCCATTCGTGATGGGAATTACCTTTGAATTACACAAATGCCCTAATATTCTTTATAAATTAATGCTACTTAAATTGGGCTTGACTAGACCTCCACTTATTGTTTGCGTTTAGATGTGATTTTGTCTTTTCTTATTGTTTGTTTGGATGTTGCAGTATTTCAGCTTCTCCATTTGTTTGCCTAGTTAGCTACATACATTATGTACACATGTATGGTCGAATACCAACAAGAGTACTCATCATTTATCTTCATCGGTTGACTTTCACTAGTGGTTCTGTTCTAACACATTTTCATCGTTAGAAATCGACAATATTTATTCATTTGTTTATTCGAACAACATAGTTGTTTTGTATTTGATGTTGTCAAAATCGATAGTATTTATCATAGTCTAAAGGTCAATTATATATTTACAGATTGTTTATTTACAATTTTTGTTTGTATAATTTTGATTAAATAAGAAAGAAGTGTTGACATTTCTAGTGACATATTTGTGTAAAAGCTCCCGTACTTCATCCTTGATTCCTGGCTGGTTTCTCTTCTATCGAAAAAAATACTGAAATGCGAATTTAAAAAAAATTCAAATTCACTGCCATTTGGCAACAATTCATTGATGTGTTAGTAGAATACTTTATTCCGTGTCCTAGACAGAAGGTAATACGTCCAGATATGTTTTCTATTTATTGAAACATTTTGTGTAATGTGTACATTCAACTCACTCACATCGACCTATAGATGTATATTTAAAGTTATTTAACTTCAAAATGTCAGTGAATAAAAATAAACTCCAACCCACTGTTTACACAGGTGACTTAACAGCTATATATATGTATATATATGATTTGGAAATGGCTGTTACTTTGATCTTGTTGTCTGTGTGGTTGATATGAATTCACTAATCAAACCACTTTTTAATTCATTTATATTTGAACGAGCAGTGTCATGAAAGTTGGACACCGAGTGTGCGGAAGCCATTATTATTATTATTACTATTATTATTATTATTATTATTATTATTATTATTATTATTATTATTATTATTTAAACACACATACAAGGAAGCACCAGATACATATGCGCCACATAAGTCTCATTCCATTTGTGTGAGGGCTGTGATACTGCTCAGGTGCCCAAACTGAAGCTGGTGGTTTTCGTAGGGGCCACACCCGGAGCCTTCCACCTGAAGGTCTGATCCACAAGGCAGTGGAGCATCGTGAGGAGATGCTGTCCCATAGTAGCCGGTGACCAACAATAGGTTCATACGCCATTCGTTCCATCAGGAAACTGGAGCCCATGTGAATTATTGGTTTGGAATGAGGGTTTTCCAACTCCCCTAGGTGAACTTTCCATGTCCACCAACCCGGTTAAAGCGCCGGACATTCGCTTTTTGTCCTCTCACTTTTGTGAACAACACCCCCGCCACGAAAAGGCAGTGAGTAGGACTTCCCTGACAGAGGCTATATATTCGCGTGGCCATATGAGAGCATTTGGAGAGGGAGAGCAGACTCTTCCCACTCTTGGTCGTACCAGGGCATTTGGGGGGCATTGATGTTTACAACAGGAATTAGTACTGGATTCGAGTTCCAGAGTGAACATCTAGCTGACGAGTTTCTAATAGGACGAAACAGTTTTCTTGGACTTTACTGCTAGCCACCGTTCATCTCTGTTTAAATATTGTTTTAGTCATAAAGCATTATTATAATCCTTTTTTTCTTTTCAACGTAATAAGTCTGATGACTTACAGTAATTAATGGTTTAAAAAGTGTTAACATATGTAATATGCATGTCCATTGCTTAGTTTGAATCATTAAATGAGCTGGAAATAAGGTAGAATAGAAGAAACTTCAGGTTAAGACATTTTTGACGTCTTATTTGATTTGTATAGTGAAAAAAAGAAGGCTATTGATCAAACTCTATAGTTTCTGGTTGATATGATTCAAAGATGACCTAGGTGGATGTTGTTATGTTTATTCTTCATTATACTTCAAGTTAAATGAATCCCTCATTAATTTTAATTTCTTCCCTTTTTATTTTGTTTTCATCTCTTTCGTTTTTTATCTGTTCTTTTCGACTAGTCTTCTTATTGCTCCTCACTGTATATTTTCTATATGGAAAGTTTAACTCACAAAAGTATTGTACAGAGAATTCTGGTGGATACGTTGAGTTGGTTGAATTATTGTATTTTTACTATCTCTTATCTATTAGTTTTTCGTTTAACCTACCAATCGTTGTATGTCTTACTGTCGCGGATTTATCATTAGTTATTTCTTTAATGCTTCGTTTTGGCATCGCTTATGACTGAGCTGCGTATACATTGCTATTTCTTAATTGTGTTACTACGCGGTTACTTACTAAGATATATTATTATGTGAGTTTTCATTTATGCGTGAACAGAGTAGAATGGAGAATTAATTTACCTGCTATCTTAATCTTATGATTGTAAGAGGCCCTTAGACCAATAAGTTTTTAGATTCTCTAGTTATTATTTATGGTTAGTGATACGTTACTTTAGAGGTTACTGACGTTTTTGAGAATTTAGGCGAATAAGCCAGTAGTCGGGCTGGATAATACAATTGCTGCCATAATAAATAGCCCTATCACAAGTCTCTATATAAATCAAGAATCTGTTCTCTTTGAAGATACAACGAGAATATTTTAAGTTTGACCACTTGAATCGGCATGATATCATGCCCAGTCCTACGTTTTTTATGATTTGTCACCTTTAGGGTTTATGCTCTTTCTCTCTCTCTTCCAACCAAATGAATTTTGATTATCGAACCCATTTCGAGATTCTTCGATTATATTTTCAACAATAAATATTCCCTGTAGTCAATTATACGAACGTATGCAGAGTCAATGTCTTCTCGTATCGTATTCCTCTCTCTGTTATAAGGTGTTTATTTGATTTAATTTAGAAGTCTTATGAAGAATGTAATTCATTAGAAAATAATTCTTTTCATAAAATTTATCCCCCACTCTATTTTTTCTGTCATTGTTAGTCATTAGATGAAAAAGCGGAAGAATTGATTCAACAAAAAAGTGCCCGATGTGAACGTTATTGTTGGTTACGATCGAAGATATTACATTTAGATAATTTATTGGGTGGTGACCAACTGTCGGATATTGCAAAGCATAAACTTGATATAGATTTTCACACTACCTTCCCACCGATTACAAAGTTTTTTGGACAATCAAATTGTATTGATCAAAATAACACTGATAAAAATGGTCATTCAAATGAATATGAAAGTTTAGATCCTTCAATAATTTGTAAGTGTATTTTTTTATTTCTTTTTCTCCTTATGTTTATTAGTGATTTCATCTTGAACACTTTTAGAATAATAACTAAATTTAAGAAAAATATTCTTTGGATATTGATTTTGTTTGGAAACTACAGAAAATAAAAAACAACAACATTGGATAGGCGTATAGTTACAGTTTCGGACATGTCAGTACTGTGTATCATCAACCTCATGAAAGATCAAATCCGGGTCTTTTGAAATCACGCTGCTGTGTATACAACCTTTTTAATTTCTAAAGTTTCTGTTAAATTGGATAGTAGATATTATGAACTTTTGTAGTGCATTTAGCCTCGTTAAAAATTCACCCTGATAACCGTTTATATGGAGACGCCACAGGATTGAATTCAGAGGGCGATAAAAAGATCCGACTACAATATATTAGCTGATCACTCAGACCACAGAATTAAAAACACATTAAGCGGATTTGGAGCGAAAAGGCCAACGAACCATTCCAGGCAAATATAGAGGCTAAATTATAGTCACATCAAATAAAGGAGTCCCATAATAGGACGAAACGGCCGTCCAGTGATTCCAGGTTTTCCATGGTGGTCTAGCTTCAATTGACTCATGATTTCAACTATGAAAATAAAGGTTCGACGAATCAAAGTAGTTTGTTTTTATAATACAAGCACAGATGTATGAGGGGAGTAGAATAATACATCGAGCTATTTTTAAGCGATCAAGATTTGAGTTAGACAAAAACACGAGTGGGCCGTAATATGTGTTTAAATATACATGTTTACGTAAGTACGATAGCGATTCTACTCATACAAAGAAACAAACGAATCGTTACTATGATAGGGCTTGACGGGGATGAAGAGTTATCAAAATTAATCGTGAGAGTGTTACTACAATCTAAAATTATGACATCCTGAATAGTGAATATAAAGTGCTCTTCTTAAGCGCGAATATGAGATCATAGTATGGTTATTTACTTAAACCATCGAAATATGGATCACTGAAATATTCCACTGCTCATTATAGAACTAGTAAACTGTTAACCTGTCTGCCATCTTTTTTGTAAATATGACACGCTCATTTAACGGATAGGTTATAAAGACGCTAACGTATATTTGATCATATGTATACTTTAATTATAACAAATACTCTGGATAAATTATTTGATAAAAAATGTCGAGTTAAGCCACACAATAATAATACACAGTGCAACTCAATTAACTAAATTATGAACGTCCATTAAATGTAGTGTTAGAAACTCACTCACCAACAAAACATGTGTCATCCATTCTATTTGCTTGTTTATCTATCAATCTATAACCAACTTATCAACTTAATTTGAATAGACTTATGAACTATTAGTCTATATATAGTCTTATCCAAAAATAGACTAAGTTGTTTCTTTTGCATCCTTTTTCAGAATACTTGTCAATTCATAGTTTTGATTCATATTATTATTACTAAAAGTTTATGCTTTTTTGAGGAGAAAAAGTAAACAAACACTGTACTATGTAATGGTACTATATCACTTGCCCATTAAGCTTCTAAATTCGATTACCTGATGATTCGATAAAAAGTATAATTAATCAGTAGATGATGGTATTATCCAACACTCTACAGACTAGAATATTGAAGTGTGAATGAGTGGAACACAATGTCTTGCATAATAGTCTGCAACTTTTAAAAAAGAGAAATGTCAGCACTTTACTATGCCGAAGAATGTTATATATTTCTTCTTAGTTTTGTAATACGATTACATCGCTTCTCATTATTTTATTTTTGCCAAAGGATGAAATGCTTCTGAATATTAAATTAAATGTGTTAATTTGTTTCATTCAGCTATAGTGCTCACAATTCATTTGCTCAAGTACTGGTTTATATATTTGAATCTAAACAACACTATCTGTGTAGGGCGTCAATGATACTATCTAGTTATGTAAATCAAAGTGGGTAGTATAAAGTTAGAATCTGCTACTCATTACTTGAAAGTTGAGTACTTTAACCAATAATACACCGTTGGTACTCATTAATTATGATTACTTAGATCCCAGTTAGAGTTTATGTTTCAAGTTAATGATAATAATAATTACAAAACATTAAAATCATTACGTAATAAGAAGTATGTAAGTAAATAGATAGTGAAGAGTACAAACGGAAAGAGGTAGAAAATTACAAAAAAATGATAACCAAAATAAAAATTTTACAAATAATAATAATGTCATTCATTAAGTTATGTCCGGCCATGGAAGGGATAGGGGGCTTACGAATTTCTTTTGTACACATAAATTGGGATGGAATGTACGAATTCCTATGGCTTCTGCTATATGAAGTAGACGGGAGCGAACTCCGTTGGGAAACGATGAAGGTATACGATAGATCACTTAAAATGATTTCAATTTATCGACAATATGACCACTATCAATTAGATGTGCCAAGATAGAACTGCGTATTGTTTTTATTTGGCCCTTTCCAAACCATTCTGGTAGATGTTACCTGAGTTGGCCTCCTCTATGTGCATTTATAAGTTCAGCTGCTCCTGTGGAGATAGCTATATCGGGCGTACTACTAGGCAACTTAACCAACGAATGAGTGAACATCTACCAGCATGGTTTGGAAAGGGCCAAATAAAAACAATACGCAGTTCTATCTTGGCACATCTAATTGATAGTGGTCATATTGTTGATAAATTGAAATCATTTCAAGTGATCTATCGTATACCTCCATCGTTTCCCAACGGAGTTCGCTCCCGTCTACTTCATATAGCAGAAGCCATAGGAATTCGTACATTCCATCCCAATTTATGTGTACAAAAGAAATTCGTAAGCCCCCTATCCCTTCCATGGCCGGACATAACTTAATGAATGACATTATTATTATTTGTAAAATTTTTATTTTGGTTATCATTTTTAGTAATAATAATTATTTAATACCATACACTTGAGTACAGTAAAGAGATCTAAACAACAAATACTCCATCTTGCAAAAGTTATCTGTCTAAAACATTCAAATTGTGAGATTATTCAATACATATTTTTAAAAAAATTTCACAGTCGATATGTTCTACCCTTATTTAATCATTAAAGTATCCTACCAACTCACCTGTTACAACTATTTTCCTATTCTATCATTCAAACGGTAAATAACGATGAAAATTTTTCAAAAAATAAATTGTATCTATTTGAGTTTTACAGTGTTTAATATTACAATCTTTTGTAACACTTTTTATAGTTGTGCATGACTAAATACAGCTAGAATTCATAATTACTCAGTGCAAACAAATCTTAAAAAGATAGTTTAACTGTAATATTTACATAATTTGGAAATAGACGGTTGAGCAGGCTATAGAACGTAGAGTATGTCACTTTAAACTTTGACAGGTTTTAAATTGGAACAAAAAGCTGACCAAAAAGTACAATGTTATAGTGAAATAATTACCTCAGAAATTCATTCAGAACAGAGAAAATAAAATAATTCACTGAAGAGATCTCTTTTCAGTCGTTTTATTCTCAAATCTGTGCAATTTTTTTATGAAGGCCTATGATGTATTAGTATCTAAACATTCTTTTATTGAATGAGAAAAACAGTCAGCAATGTCATAAAAAATATTTAGAAAGTTAATGGGATATCACAGAAATTAAACAAAGATCAATCATCTTATCTAACATAACAGGATTCTCATACCAGGATGAGACGGCCACCCAGTACTTCCACGTTTTAAAAGGTTGTCTAACTTAGATAAGCGCAGGATTTCAATGAAATACAATAATCTCAACGACCCTATACTTTCTAATAAATAGTTGATAAGCTTATTTTGGAATTGTTTTCTGCACAAGTTTATATAACTCAATTTACCAGATTGTTGAATCTTACACTTCTAACTATTAGTCTTTTTCACTATTCCATCCCCTACAAACTGTATCTTTCTCTAAGTGTGAAAATAATAGTTTATGTTGAACTTTGATAGTCTAATGATGGATATGATTCGATGATTAACATTCGAATATGGGCTGCTAACCAGAAAATCTTAATTTTTATATGAACAATTTTTGAAAGAAACATACTCAGTAAAGGTATTTTCATAAAGACGTGCTTAAAACAAACGCCACGAATTTTCAGTCAGTTCTTAGCCAATCTAAAACAGGCTTTTGTAAATGAACAGTTTATGAAAAAAAATAATATTGAAGTGTTAATAGATTTTACATAATAAATCTAGTAAAGGTTTCCACAGGTAACTCTCCCTGTCATTCTGAAAAAAGATATTATGAATATAGGTTGTTTGTCATCTTGAACCTTCAAAAGGACCAAAATATATATTTAACGGTCTCTACATTTTCCACAGTCGTAGTTAAGACTAGAGATTCAGAGTAATGTTTTTCGTTATGAACTGACAGCTAATATGCAGAACGTCTGTGTAACCATATGAAATAATAAATTTCACTCAAAAATTAAAGAAATAAAATATGATTAATTCGTCCATAAAAGTATAACGCCAATAGGTTAAGATTTGTGTCAGTAATAAATATTTAGGATCCAGTTTCAGGGATAGTTTTAGTTTGTCTATGATCTACAATTTACAGAGAAAGAACTGAGTATTTGACACGTTTAACAATATCAGTTTTTCTCTATAATGGCGAGAAATATATTTTTTGCTATCATTCTAGACGTTTTGAGCAATAAACAAAGATATTTCTACTGTTTATTAATCGTGATATTTGAATTCCGCACAGAAAACCAAAAATCACGTTCTTCATCCTGATTATCTAGTCTGTATACTATACATTTACCACATATGTTTGTGTAATATCATTGTACAAAGGTCTACCTGTTTATTACTTCATATCTTTTAAAGATATCCTTCTGAACTGTTAACTCTCAATTATGTACTTTTTTTTCTATTCTCAGTTATTTATTTAAGTATTGCTTTCAATAGTTTCATCACAATAGAATCAATTCTAAATTATGATTGATCAGTATGTATGACATTTTGTATCTATTTTTATCTTAATTTCTTTCAATCATTTATGATGACAGACTTTTATTTTTTTTTTTCTAAAAGAAAATATGACACTTAACAATTGAATTTTTGGAGACCACATGACAATAATCAGGTTCTTTATTTATAAGTTTTAGCATAATATATGTTCCTACTTCTTTTATTAAACAGTGGTGATTAATTTAATCATCAGTTGACTACTATTTAAGTAAAGTTTGATAGCGTGGCTACAAATGGGACCTAGGATGCATATTGCATCTTTTTTTACGAGTGAATTAATTGATCAGTGTATTGGAAATAATCATGAATGTATGGTGTCCTGTTGAAATGAATGAATCAATAAACAGTCTATCTCTTTATATATATATAACACATATTAGTTCATTTTTATGTCTACAATTGTTAGTAAAAAGCTTGATGAATAAAATCCTGTAGTCTCCTAAATTCATTTATTGACTTTCATTAAACCTTCATCATTGATTAGAAAAAAAGACGTTCAGTTCATATTAAATCATTTCACATGAATATTCGTGAAAATTTAAGCGAATAATTTAACAGAATTTGGACGCCGATTATAAAGAAGACATTAAATATAATACGACACATATTTGCAATAATCTCAGTAATTATTTTCCTGACGAATCTTAGACCAGTTTACCGAGTGAAATGTTGGAATTATTTCAACGTCGATCATTGAGGTTGTTTTTACATAATTTTTACATATTTAACATTGAATTACTATTGGCATTCTTGAATGTATGTGATTGAATTCAAATGTCTATCAATGCTGTTTGTAGCCAGATATTAATCTAAAATGACCTGTGGACACTATCCAAATTTGATTTGATTTATTCCACAGGTGAAAGTTTGTTATTTAAAGTTTAGATGGCCAGTGCGACTGTCCTATTATGAAATTAATGCTACTACGAAGCCCCATTTCACAATGTTATATCGATTGATTGAGTGTTCTGCAACTATTGTATATTTGCCTGTAACAATTGACCGTCCATATGTACATAACTTATCAGAATCCAGAGTTTGGTGCAGTTCATCTAATTAAGGTCAACCGATTCTATCTCGAATCAGTAGTGGTATGATATCCAAAGTAATATTGTTATCTTTTATCTCAAATTTATTCAATTTGGTCGGCAACTTCTGTTGATTATTACTAGGAAATCTTAAAATGGTTGAGTTTGCTATATATGTTTATCATATTATGCAAGGACTTTTGCTTAATCCTTAACTTCTTAACTTGGACCTTTGATACGTTTACTTGGAATTTAGAATTCACTTACGCCTGTTACCCCTCGTGAAAGAGCATAGACCGCCAACCGGCATTCTCCACCCAACTCTGTCCATGGCAATCTTTTCCAGTTGCTGCCATTCACCCTTTTCGTGTCTGCTTCCTAATCTCGGCGTAGTGTGTTCTTTGATCTTCCTCTTTTCCATCTCTTTTCACGATTCCATGTAAGCGCTTGCCTCGTGATGCAGTTTAGTGATTTCCGCAATGTATGTCCTATCCACCTGAAGCTTCTTTTCCTAATTTCCTCTTCAGCTTGAAGTTGGTTTGTTCTCTACCGCAATAGGCTTTTAATAATGGTATCCGACAAACTTATATTGAGTATCTTGCATAGAAAACTGTTTCCAGATACTTGTACGTTTTTGATAATGGTTGTGGTTGTTCTTCAGGTTTCAGCCCCCTAAAATAGAACTGTCTTGACGTTTTTAATGAAGTTTCTGACTTTGATGTTGGTTGACAGTTTTTAGTTCCATATGTTCTTCAATTGTAGTAAGATTTCAAATTTGGTGCAATCTTATTCTAAAAGAAATAAGGAGTGTTCATAAACTAGAATGGTTTGTATATGTTGTCCATATCCCGTTGTTTCGTACCTCAGTGTATTATACCGAAGTGTTTAGGGACTATGTATAACAAAAACACGACTGTCAACTTAATCTCCTCACATAATTGTAAAAACCCCATTTAGTGTCAGAAATACAATCGCAATCAATGGTTACGTACTTTATATATTTTTGGGTCGAAATCGGTTGCAACAATGTGGATACATCTACTTTATATATTTTTTATGTTCACCATTGATGTTTGTCTGACATCCTACAATTTTTCCAGTTGTTCCACAGTTCTTTACTAAGAATACTAGGCTGTACAACTTTTGACTACATTTCTATGTACATGAACACAAATTTCCGAATTCAAGAGCAACTGATTGTTATTCAATAACTATTATGAAAAGTTTTCTCTTCCTATTACTTGTATTTATCTGTTTCATAACATCCTTTTTTTACGTAAAACACATTGAAATCTAGTGTACAACCCGTCTTTAGTCAGTTTGAAGTATGCATACTTTTTATTGAACCTAAGTGTATGATTCCAAAACTCATATGAAATGTTCTTAGAATTTAGCTGATCTCAACAAGACAGCCTTTGTTTCCTAAAGAAAGGACTTAATAAAATCTGTAAAATGTCTTGATAGTTTTCTTTAGTCTAGATTCAGTAATTATATATGTATATATAACCATACGTTAATGAATAATTTATTTTCTATTAACCTTATTTAGCATCTATTCAAACCTTACCAGATCAAACAAATATTGAAAAGCTCACTAAGATTTATGAAGAGCTACAATCAATTTATACACCTTTAGCTAATCAACATGCTGCACTTCGTGAAGATATTGCTCGTGTTGCAGCTGATATTTTTTATCAACCACAATCCGATAAAGAAGCTGAAATTTTAACGATTGTTGGATTAAAACATTTATGCAAAAATGGTAATACAATTTCAACTCCTGGTGTAGTTAGACGAGCTAATGATGGAATAAATTGTATTATGCCTATATCTACACCTAGTGAAAACTCAGAAGTCACTACAAATGGCTTAGATAATAATCATGATACATATGAACCTGTTGTAAATAAAGAGATACTTAGAGTAAGTAGATATTCTGTATTTGATTAGTATTCTTTAAGAATTGATTTTCAAGTTACATGTTCTCTTATTAAACTTTACATATGGTGAAACTGTTGAATAAGAGATTCTGATGCTGGACATAGAGTACTATTAATTAAAAGTAGAGCAGTAGCTTTGGTGTTAAGCTAATCAACTTTTGATTATCAATTCTCAAGTTCATACTCTGTCCAAATTATTTCAATTTGTGCAACCATTTATGTTTATTTATTTATTTAAACTCATAAATATTGGTATAAGGAGGGGAACCAGATATATATTTACCGCACAAATTTCATTTGATTTGTGTGAGGGCTGTGATACTGCGCAGGTGCCCAAACTGAAGCATGTAATTTTCTTAGGGGGCCACACCACGAGCCTTTGACCTAAAGGTCTGATCCACAAGGCAGTGGAGCATGGTGAGGAGATACATTCCTATGGTAGTTGGTGACCGACGATTGGTTCATACGCCATTTGTTCCCTCAGGATACTGGAGCTAATGTGCACCATTGGCTTGGAATCAAGGTTTTCCAACTCCCCTAGGTGGACTTATCCATGTCCACCGACCCGGTTAAAGTGCCGGACATTCGCTTTTCGTCCTCTCAATTTCGTAAACAACAGAAGTGCGACGAGAAGGCAGTGTGTAGGACTTCCCTGACAGAGGCTGTATACACGTTGCCGTGTGAGAGCATTTCGAGAGAGATTGCGGGCCGTCCCCACTCCCGGCCGCTACAGGGCATTTGGGGGCTTTGAGTGTGGCTCATACCTAATAATCCAGTGAATGAGGCAATCAACAAATTGTTTACAATTCATGATATATTGGTCAGAGTATGATTCTTTAATTCTACTTGCCAAACTGATTAAATCATGTTATCTTTTATACATCTAGTTAACACCTACTTTGCAATTTGCTCTATTTTCTATTATAGAAGTAATTTTGTAAATACTATTATAACCCTATTGAGACATCTTACTAGTTCATAAGGTCAATAACTTGAGATAATCATTATAGTTTGTGAAAATAAAATTAGTCACCTCTTTCATGATTATAATTTATTTTGTCACCTTAGAACTCCTATCTAGTTCAGTGTACTCTTGTACATTGTAATTATTATCCATGGTTTATAAATATCACCTATGATTATCAAATAAATTTTTTTTAAAATTTTCAAATCATTACCGAAAAAAGATTCACAAAATATTTTTCACATAGATTTTAATATTGTTAAAATTTAAAAAAAAATTATTCCTTTCTATTTTTATGTTGCCTGAATTGATTGAATTATAGATGTTTTACTTTTTTATAATTCATTTGACTAAAAGTTGATTAACAATTAGTTAGACATTAACACTGTTGGATACCGGCTCAGTGGTCTAGAGATTAAGCACTCGTGCCTGAGATTGATAAGTACTGGGTTCGAATCTCGTGAGGCGGAATCGTGGATGCGCACTGCTGAAGAGTCCCTTAATAAGAAGAAACGACCGTCCGGTGCTTCGAGGTTTTCCATGGTGGTCTAGCTTAAATTAACTCATGATCTCGATTATTAAAATTAGTTAGTGAATATAAAGAGTAATACACAGATAAAGAATAAGAAAGAAATAGTTATTGAAAAAAAAACAACTTTATTTACATAATATTTCATATGTAAAACCTTACAGATTGGTAATTGTTTTAAAATATTGTTTAATTTAATAGAAGAAATAATTATCAGTTATGGGATTTACAAGTAATGTATAAGTTGAGTATGCACTGTTTAAAAATTCCGAATATGACTGAAACAGCTTCTTAAGTTTGTTAATAACTATTTAATTGAAATAAGTTATTGATAAAAATGAACTGTTTAATTGAAATTGGTTTAAATTATTTTTCCTGGTTAGCATGTTTCTAGCGAGTTAGTTTTCTACGGGTTGGGGTCGCTAACCCCATGTCAACCTTCCTTTTTTATCCGGGCTTGGGATCCGCAGTAGCCCCCGGAGGGACTATAGGCGGAGTCTTCAACAGGGTATTGTTAAACGAAATGAAGGATTCCTCAGATGTCCAACTTAGAGACTGACAGGCTGGATTCCGTGAGGATCGATCCAAATTGCAACTCTACAGATCATTGTGGAACAGTCAATTGAATGGAATTCATCACTCTACATCAACGTCATTGACTACTAGAAAGCATTTGATAGCATGGACAAGACAACACTATGGAGGCTTCTTCGACACTACGGTGTGCCTGAGAAGATAGTAAATATCATACGAAATTCCTATGATGGATTAAAATCGATCATGGATGACAACTCAATGACTCGTTTGAGGTAAAGACCGGTCACAGGCAAGGTTGCTTACTCTCACCCTTTCTCCTTCTCTTGGTGATCTAATGGATTATGAAGACGTCAACATCTGGAGGAAATCACGGGATACAGTGGACAGGCAGGATGCAGCTTGACGATCTAGACTTCGCGGATGATCTGGCTCTTCTATCACAAACGCAACAACAAATGCAGGAGAAAACGACCAGTGTAGTGGCAGCCTCAGCAGCAGTAGGTCTCAATATAAACAAAGGGAAAAGCAAGACTCTCCGATACAATACAATATGCGCCAATCCAATTACACTTGACGTAGAAGCTTTGGATGATGTGAAAACCTTGACATATCTGGGCAGCATCATCCATGAACACAGTGGATCTGATGCAGATGTGAGGGCGCGGATCGGCAAAGCAAGAGCAGCATACTAACAACTGAAAAGCATCTGGAGCTCAAAACAATTGTCAACCAACACCAAGGTTAGAATTTTCAATACAAATGTCAAGACAGTTCTACTGTATGGGGCGGAGACGTGGAGAACTACGAAAGCCATTATCCAGAAGATACAAGTGTTCATCAACAGCTGTCTACGCAAAATACTTCGGATCCGATGGCCAGACACTATCAGCAACAACATACTGTGGGAGAGAACACACCAGATTCCATTGGAAGAAGAAATCAGGAAGAAGCGCTTGAAGTGGATAGGGCACACCTTGAGGAAATCACCCAATTGTGTCACAAGACAAGCCCTCACATGGAATCCTGAAGGCCAAGGGAAAAGAGAAAGACCATAGAATACATTATACCGAGAAATGGAGACATACGTGAGAAGAATGAACAAAAATTGGATAGAACTACAAAGAGAGGCCGAGTACAGAGTGGGTTGGAGAAAGCTGGTCGGCGGCCTATGCTTCATTGGGAGTAACAGGCGTAAGTAAGTAGTAATTGAAGTTGTTTATATCAATTAGTTTTTCAGTTTGAAGCTAAGGATATATCATTAAAGATATCAAAATTCATGGTTTAACACCAGCTGGTTCAAATCTTCACAAACTGAGTAATCTAGCATATTAGTTAGAACTATCAATATTGAAGTATATCATGAGTACTGTTATAACGTATGCCCTGAGCAGTCTTGGGTGCTATTCGGTCCTTCCTATCTGCCTAGCCCAGCCCGTTAAGTCCAGAACACAAATAACAGCCTCGGAAATATGAATCATTATTTACAAGCATACTGGGTTTTTATACAAACCAAAGTAATCAATAAACTGATTATAACTCAAGAATCGTATGATCATAAATCAAAGATCAAAATAATAGAAAACACGAATATGAATAATTTAGTTACGTAACAACTGTACAATAAGAAATAGGCATAATACATTGGTCGATAATAGACCTCAGATTTACGATTCATAATTCACCAGGGGATATAACACCTCCCCTTTTTGAGAAATCCGGATTTTAAATTTCTCAAATTCACCCTCCCCCACGAAAGATTGTTGGATCCTCATGTACCCAAGTTACCGTTATTGTGACATTATTTAAAACATATTCGTCGTATTTAACAGAAAATCCACCAGAACTGATTATATCGTGAGGATCGACGACATTCGATTTGAGGTCACCGGCGTCTGATTCTTTTGAAACACTTTCCTTGAATTTACTCGGAACCTCATTAGTAGATAATGAATCATTAGGATAATCAGTATCTATGAAATTTGTATTGGATTCTTGATTATCATTTAATGCATCCGATATTTTTCTCCCATTTTTATAAGAGATTTGAACTGGAACATATGAATCAGTAAAATAATCGGGATCTGGCAGAACAATTAGATAATTTTGATCATTAGATTCATTAGAAAAATTTTCCGTATCATGAATAATTTCATTTGGCGCCTCTGCATTCAATATACTGCTCGATTTGCTTCCCATTTCTTCGTGGGCGGGTACTGCAGCAATTTCATGAGCATTTGACATGGCATCATGTTGCTGAGAGCTGGGAGCATCACTGTTCGGACCTGCTAATTCAGGGATAGTGGTGTTTGAATCCACTACCGGGCACGTTTCTGAAACAGGCAGCACCGGACTACTGGGCTGATCATGTAGGACTGTTACTGCTGCATCTAAATTACTGTTTTTCGCGGATTCATAGAGGCTTTCCTCTGCACATTCATTTGTTCTGTAATCGACTTCCAGTTCCGTACGCAATTTAGAAATCAATGCGTCAACTTCCGTTGCACCCCCAAAGCATGGGTGATTCAGCAGCGTCGCGTGTAACTTGTCAATGAAATCCAACTGACTCTTTTTAAAACGCTGCTCTTGTCTCTGAATTAGCAACTGAAATTGATCGGAAGTTAAAGCCATTTTTTTTTACCCTGTCGTCAGTTGTTATATCGTATGGGCCCGTAATTTATATGAACGCCAATTTAGAGAGGAGTGAATTTATTGATCGGATGCAAATGATGATTGAAATCGTACGAACTGTCTTGGGTGCTGTATTTTTTTCCAGAATCCCCGTCGCCAATTGTTATGGCTCGTATAACAATCGTTATTGTATATGAAACGTGCAATGATACAGAAAATACGTACGAGCAGTCTTGATTGCTGTATTTTTTTCCAGAATCCCCGTCGAAAACTGTATACTTTTTTCTTTTGCGCACCAAAATCCCCGTCGCCACTGTTATAACGTATGCCCTGAGCAGTCTTGGGTGCTATTCGGTCCTTCCTATCTGCCTAGCCCAGCCCGTTAAGTCCAGAACACAAATAACAGCCTCGGAAATATGAATCATTATTTACAAGCATACTGGGTTTTTATACAAACCAAAGTAATCAATAAACTGATTATAACTCAAGAATCGTATGATCATAAATCAAAGATCAAAATAATAGAAAACACGAATATGAATAATTTAGTTACGTAACAACTGTACAATAAGAAATAGGCATAATACATTGGTCGATAATAGACCTCAGATTTACGATTCATAATTCACCAGGGGATATAACAAGTACTGTTCGAGGTATGATGATGGTTATCATTTTCTTGTTCATCACACCATGCAAAGATATTTCTTCTTGAGGTTCATGAAAAAAAACTGTGTTTGGAATGATCTTGTTAACCTGTGAGATTAACTATTGAGCCGAAGAGATAACTAGTTGCGACTTGTAATAAATGGTATTTCTGGTGTGCTAGTTCCATACTTTTCAGATATCACCATCAACAACGGAAGTATGTTAGGCAATATGAGGTTTACTACTATTACAATCGACATTTTCTAATGTTCTTCCTTACGCTCTGAGAGGACAGCATCTCTCTAGATGCTAGTTGTCTGACGGGAACATCTTGCTATCGTCACAACTCTGTACGGTTGGGAGTAAGACCTCACCCCCAGACCTTTAGTTACAGCTGGGTGAAATCTGTTTGTTTTGACTGAAATTAATCAACAATTTGTATACCTTTATACTTAAAAATGGACTATAAAAGTTTTATCACCACATCAAAGTGTTAGCATAAGTGTATCAACTCAAATTATTTGGTGTAATTTTTAAAGTGTGATTTTTGTGTGTTGGTATTGTCTATCGATTTTCACATAGTCTTATATTTCAGTTAATTAGTGAAACAAGTATTTTCTTTTTTAAATTCTATTTTTTTCATCAGATCCATCATTATTTTAACTAGATTACAGGTCCAGTTGCTTCTGTCAGTCATTCATCCAGTCATATGTAATAAAAAATATAACACACATCTCGTAATCCTATAGTTGAATAATTAATTCCAGTAATAACAGTGATAGTAGTGAAAAAGTCTGGGTAAAAAAACAGTATAAAAAGATTTTGAGACTCGAGACCTAAAGCGATCCAAATAGTGAATACATCTGTGCTATAACGATCGATTCTGAATTACATTATCCAATATCTCAAACCACTGGTTTAAATAGTCACACCGACCCCAGACCAGACAGCCTGCACCTACCTACATGAATCATTTCAGCATTCAATGATCTCATGGACTAATGCCAAGTTTTGGTTTGACCAACCCTTATCTTTATTTCGGTATACTCCTCTACCAGATAGTAACATTAATTTTTATGGAGTAATGGTCTAGTTTCATATTCTTATTCCCGTTATAATATGAAGATTCCGATTCATTTAACTCAAAATGTTTTCTTTTAACATTTAATTCATATAATCTAAAGTTCGTTTTCTAAATATAAGAGGACAACATAAATACAATAAAGTATTTCATCAAGTATTTCAAAGATGAATGAAAAGGTCTGTCAGTCTAAATTTAACAACATTGCATATCTTTTTTTGTGAGGGTCCCTCTCTACATGTTCGAATAAGTAATCGAGATTTTTTATTGTTTACTGACACTAATTTCGTTTGTTCAATGTTCATCAACCCACGCATATTTATCTCTACAACACATTTACGTGTTATATTAATGTAATAACCAGAGATATTTTACAATGTGGGCGTTATGAATAATAAGTATAAGCTATGATCTTGTGGATTCTTCTTTCTGTGATGGTAATGCAATGGTATACATTGTCAATTTCTATGTAGTTGTAAATGTTTCGGAATAAATTTGTAACTACTTATAAGTAAGGCAAATTAACCACAATAAAATATCGCATTCACCTTTATTACGAATGAAATTTGTATGATGCAAAAATTGAATATTTGTTTTTATTGCAGTTATTCTTATATTAAGACAAGTGTTTATATGGACATACATTATTTTTCATCGTGAAGCGTGGCGTTGCCTGGCATTGAAATTTAGTTATTGTTGAGAAAAAATCTATGAAACCATCAGTTCTCATTCGGTTTTATTCCATTTAAAAACTAATTAACATTCAGACGAAATTTGAAAATTGTATTCATCACAAATTGATCTCAGTTTGATACCACTGGAAACTGCGAATTGCTAAATAATTGTTTTGTATGGGACATCTTGATAGTGCTCAACTTGTTACCTCACAAAGGATAGAATCCAGAACTTTCAAGTGTATTGAACTATTAATTGTTGAGACCACTAGATCGCCGTCTAAAAGTACAATCCTAAATTGTATCAATCATACACGAAAATCATACAATGGAATTTATGACAAAACTAATCAAATTGTATTATGTTAACCCTAATAAAATACTAAACTGTAAGGTTGTACTTTATTTTACTAATGTAGTAACATTTTTAAAAAAACATTCATAGAACTTAATGAATAAAATATGTGTAATGTAATTATCAAGAGCTTACTGTTTTTGTAATTTTTACACCGATTAAATGACCTTAATGATTAACAACACAAATAATAAAATAGATCTATCTAAATAATCAACTGAATAATATAACGGTGTTTAATTTTCAATGATCGATTATTACCTTTGTTGCGGTTACACATTGTCCTAGTGATTACCATCTTTGATTAGTGTTCAAACTGATGTTGATTCACATGTATGCATGTGATTTTTTCCAAGGCTTTTTCGACGAGACTATGGTCAAGAACTATCGATTTAAAAAAGTAATGGGAATTTTGACATATATTGAAAGTTTTTTTTTCAAAGTTGAAATCATGAGTCAATTAAAGCTAGACCACCATTGAAAACCTGGAAGCACTGGACGGCCGTTTCGTCCTATTATTGGATTCCTCAGCAGTGCGCATCCACGAACCCGCCCTCGCGAGATTCGAACCCAGGACCTACCAGTCTCGAGCCGAAGCTCTTAACCGATAGACCAATGAGCTGGCATCCGACGGTGTTAATGTCTAACTTCAATTGGTCTAGCTTCAATTGACTCATGATTTCAACCTTGAAAAATACTGAAATCTCCACAAATCCCCTTCTGATTATATCTTGAAAGTGTTCATTTATTCTCCGTTAAACAGTCTATGCTCGTTTAACGCGAACATTCTTAAGAACAAATCCTACAGCATGTGTGCTGCCAATATTTGATTGATACAGGATGATGTAATTCGGCGAGTAATGTGGAAATATAACTCTTGAAACTAACATATGGAGAATTACCATTTATATTTTTTTATTGCATAATTAGTAAACTCTTGTGTTGTTAATTTTTTGGAGTCTCCTATTTGTAAGATTTCGTTTGACCCATGAACCGTTGTCACATATCTTTTTCTTCCAGACTTACCATTAATTAATTATTTCCTTAATACTATGGGTTTGTATTACTTATGACTGAGTTATGTATGCATTTTAATTTCTTAATTGTATCTTAATGTTCACATATTTCAGGTATACTACTGCATAAGTTTTAAGTGGTGATTAAATAGAGTTCAACAGAGAACTGAGCTTCTTACTATCTTCATCTTCAGATTAGACACTGGTATGGAATGTGCTAGAGGACCAATAGACGCAAAATGATATTGATTGTTGTTTGTTGGTCATTGTGTCAGTGTTAAAATAGGATATCCGTTTGACAAGCAGTATAGGCAAGTCAATAATCGAACTACACCACTCCCATAATAAACGGCCAGATAATATGAACCTCATCACAAGTTCAAGTATCCGTTCTCCTCTTGAAGATACGATACTTACGTTTTCGTTCTTTCTATAATTCAATAATTCCATCGATTCCATTCTATAATCGTTTTTTTAATATTGGCAATATATCTCATATTGATTTTTAAATTTTTTCCCCGTATTAATTAATATTTTTATTTCTCCCCCTCTCATCTTCCTCTACATCTCTTTCTCAGTGGTTAACTGATTGGCGATTGAGATTAGTCAAAGAGAAAGCTCGTTTAGTTGGTACGTGTGAAGAATTGAGAGCTTATTTGTTACAAATGTGGAAACGATTAGATAAACCAGAATCAGAACAAAAAGAATTCTTGGAGATGCATTCTGGTTATAAACCTGAAACACTGGAAGCACTTCAGGTAGTCTCATCATGTTTTCATTTTATTTTGTGAGGTTTGCTATTTTCTAACGCAAATTATTTATTGTTAAGTATATTTTTACAAAAAAATGCGAGGCAAAGTTGTGATCAACATACTCTGGTGCAGTTGCATTCTATAGTATATTCAGTTGATCATAGAAATTATTCACCAATAGAGAAGGATATATTTCAAAAAAAGTTTGTAATTGTTGCAATATAAGAATCAAATTTATTTTCAAAACGATAACCAATTTGTGAGATTGCTGTGTTCTAATTTATCCCCCATAGAAAATGATTCTGTGTAGTCTGTTTAGATATGGAATAGTATTATGTAAAGATTATTCAATTTACAACATAGACTGAATTCAAATGAACAATCATCGAAAACTGATAAAAGTAGTAAAGGTCTATTTTATTTTAGTTTGGGATTTTTAATCCGTCTATGGTTCACCGCTACACATTGGTGATTGAACTAAGAACGTTCAGACTTCATACTGAACCCTATACTATTGTAGTATATGCGACTTATGTTGACGGATATAAGTAGTATGTAACACTAATCAAAAGTGGAATGTTTGGCAGCAGAAGTTTGAGAAGATGGAATCGAAGATAATAGAAGTGTAAACATAGAGTAGTTGTAATAACGACAAGAATGAAGAAATGAAGAAGTGTGTAAGTCACAATTGTTGGAAGATATACAAATGATGTATTTTATGTATGGTGTCCATATTTTACGACGATACTGTAATTTTGCCTTAATAAACATCTAAGTGTTCATTCACCACATTGTGAGATAATAGATAACCCAATGGTTCAGCTTCTAATTTAGATTAATCTCCATATATTGTATTATGGTTATGAAATGGGTTATCTCAGTGACATATTTCTCCAACTGATTACGATAGATGATATGAACAAACTTTCGAAGAAGTTCATTCATTCGAGTGTCTATTCTATCATTCATGGGAATTATACAGTGTAGAATGTTAAGTTTACTAAATTCATATAATTATTTGATATTTGTTTACATTAGCCCTATTGTGTTCTGTCAATAGTCGAATACGTAATTCGTTTAATCTGTTATTAAGCAAACTTCAAGATTCATATAAACAATGGAATAGGATCTGATGTTATTGGAAAACTAGTTATCATTTTCAGTTTATAAATTTTCTTGTCTTAAATGACGATACTTTGTCACTATGTTTACAGAGTTTTTTTTCAAATTTCGACATCTATTTGTAATATAGAGCTATCTTGTTAGTCTAGTCTTTTTTATCTCTTATTGGTGTGTAGATTATTAACATTGAAGTGTTGTTATTTGACAATAACTGGACTGTAGCCGAGTTCGCATTAGTTCATGTCCTTATTTAAGAAATCTGGATCGTTCGTTTCAATAAATTTTATGTGATCCATTCGCAGCCAATCTCAAAGTATCATAATGACACCCTTCCCTGAATTTCGGATTTTTTTCTACTCTTCAGTAAAATTTATGAAGTTAATGTCTTTTTTTAAAGAAAACACCACTCAAATCTTTTCTATTTCTTTATGTTTTTTTTTTAATTTCAAGGAAGAAGTTGATCGATGTCAACAAATGAAATGGGAAAATATGCAAACATATTTAAGTCGTCTTGAAAGTGAAGCACTACGATTGGCTAGTTTATGTTGTGTAGATGAGAAAATTATTCAATTACCAAATGATAGTGATAAACAGGATCCAGAAATAATAATTAATCATTTAGAGACTATATTAGAACAATTAAACCAAACTTATTATTTATATCGTCCCGTCTATGAATGTATTGCTGTATATGAATCATCTTGGAAACAATTAATTGATGTTGAAGCACGTTTAAAAGATCCATCAATATTTTCTAATCGTGGTGGTATTTTATTAAAAACAGAAAAAGAGAAAAAACGTCTATTGAAAGAAGTGGAACGTACTGAAAAAGAGGCGATATCAGCTATTGAACAATATGAATTAAAAAGTTCATCACATTTTCTTTTATCTAATGGTAAAACATTTACTGAACATATTAATGATAAATGGAATAATTATAAAACATGTAAAGATACATCAAAATCACGTCGTTCAATTGTTCCAACTACCAGTAATAATAGTAGTTCAACTGTCAATAATAATAATAATTCCGGTAATACAACACGCCCAACTTCAGCTAATCTAACAGGATCACCTGTAGCTAACACTTAGTACTTATTATTATTGAATGAAAGGCATTAATTTTTCAGTTCTTCCCATATTGTTGTACATACACAAGCATATATACTTATATACATGTATAAGTACACATATACCATTATTTCTCATATACATTTAATTTTGTAGGCTGTGAATTTAACTTTTAAAAAAACCCAACAAACAATGATTCAATAGATCTAACTAATAATAAAGTGAACATTGAATATGGTTTCATTTGTATATTCTTATTTTCCCCTTCTGTTTTCTTTTCATTTTATTGAATTTCTTTTCATAGTTTTTATTCACTTTATTTTGTTTTGCTTAATTTTGTTGTGTTTTTGTGTGTATAAAGAAGTTATTCGAAACAATAATGGCTACCTACTCTCTCTCTCTCTCTCTCTATATATATATATATATATATATATATATATATATTTACCTATATATATATATCACCAATCAGCTGATCTAATAACACAAGTCTTTAATGAAAACTGATTGTATTTATCGACACTATTACCTGGTTGAGTTTATTCTGAAATGACAAATCATTTTCTTTTATTATTTTGAGAAGATAATTTCAGTTGAGTTTTTCTTTCGGTTGTTATCTAAAGTAAACATTAAAAAAACAGTCATTGAATGTGTGTTATTCACCTAATATGATGCTTTCATTTTCTGTGAAAAAACGTTCACTACTATTATTGTGCAATAAATAAATTTGAATTTTTTTTTGTTAGTTCAAACTGTAGCCTACTACTGTTATTGGTGTGCTGCTATCAATAGAGAATGCGTTTTTTTTTCATTTTTTAAATATTTTTCTTTTGTCTTATGTGTCTATGTGTGTGAATGTTTATTCTTTGTTCAGTTTGATAAATAATTAATGGTTCAAACAATTTCGGATATTCACTTTCTTTTGATTTTCATTCTTCATTTTAGATAAATTAGCTTGTTGGATACTAACTGACCATATTAGAATAATAATAATAATAATAAAATCGTTTGGGTTGTAGCAATCGGGGTACTTTTCTGTTTCGATAATGATTTTTAGTAGAAATTAATTCTGATAGATAAATTTGTAAATTAATCAGATTTTAATTCATCAGTTAATTGTTATTTAAGTTAGTTACTTTTCTATGAACAGTAGTATTGTGGTGTGGTCTACTTATATCCATATAAGTAGTATATGGTGATGGTCAGACATAGAATGTATTTCGGCAGAAGATCGATAAGGAACGAACAGGAATGAAAAGCAATCGGTACGAAAAAGCATAAACAATGAAATCAGAGATGGACTGATATCTACAAAAGGAACAGTTAAGATTGAGACTATTGATTGCTATTTTGCAAATTACCGGCTACCGTATGGCTATCAGAATTTAGTGAGATAGTCTGTAATTTGTGCTTAAATACATTCGATTATCCACACCCGTGTTTCTGTATACTGCAGTATTAATGAAATGAAAAACTGATGAATGTACTACAATTGTCGAGTTTAAAACAAAGTGAAATTCTTTGTAGCAATGTATAGAAGAATCGACCGCTAAATTAGTTTTGAATTATTCAGGTGATTGGTAGAGTTTACGTTTATGATAAATTGATATCGGCTTGACTATCATTCAAAAATACAAAACACTAGACAGTGGTTTTATATATGTTTAAAGTTTTTCAGCAGCGCGCATTAGAAGCTATTCGTAGGACTAAACTCAGGACATTTTTATCTCTCGACAAATGCATTAATTTTAATGTGCTAAGTTTAAATTCTATGGCCCGTATTTTATTACCCACCTAATTTGTAATATAACTACACCACGATGAACTAACGGTAAATTACAACAGATACTTTGTGTGATCAGAGTTCAAGTCTACGAATTGAGACCATGGTTGACAAAATATTTTTCAAATGCTAAATAACATGACACACGTGAAGCCTTCATTTTGATTACAGGTATCCTTTTCAAATACATTCTATGATACGGTCGAATCAGAGGTGTGAGCGTTACTATTTATAGGTAAATTAAGTAAAATTCGTCTGTATTATTTTATCTGTTTTTAAAAATAATAGTATGATTAGTGGAAACGTTTACTTTTCTGGACAGCATTATCGATGAACAAGGAGGGTCTGACGCAGACGTAAATTCGAGGATTGAAAAAGCGAAGGCAGCATTCCTATAGTTCAAATACATATGGATTTCAAAACAACTATCAACCAACATCAAAGCCAGGAACTTATTTACAAAAATCAAGATTGTTCTGTTGTAGGGAGCTGAAACTTGAAGAACAACAACAACCATTATCAAAAAAGTACAAGTATCTATAAACAGTTGTCTACGCAAGATACTCAATATACGTTTGTCGGATATCATCAATAACAGCCTATTGTGGTAGAGAACAAACTAACTTCGAGCTGAAGAGGAACTCAAGAAAAGACGTTTCTGGAGAAATAATTCTGACTTTTATGTTTGTAGAAAACAAATTCTTTTAAGCTACATGAATTCTCAACATCCCTTTAAATTTAAAATCATTTTTCGTTTATTAAGATTTCAGGAGACCAGTATTATCACCAGTCACTGATTACTGGCAAATGCGATTCATAGTTTAGTACATTAAACTGGTGTTTAATAAATGAGTTATCCTAATGTCAACACGCAGAATGTTTTCATTAATGTTCGAGGAAAATAACAGTAATTATGAATGAACATTAGTGAGTGGATTCAAACAACCAGTATAAATGAACTATGATCAACAACGTTGAGTAAATCAGTGATTCACTGAACTGAGTAGCTAAGAGAATGAAGGATTGGAAATTTGAAGCAAAAGGTACGGAATTCGAGTCCTATAGTAAAAACTAATACTCGGACAAACGTAAATCTAGCTGATGAATGCTAAACGGGACAAAAAACGCGTTCTGAACTTCACCACGATCCCCCATCCAATTTTGCCATAAATTTAAGTGAAAATTCGATTCGAAGTTATTTCGAAAAAATGAGGAACAGTTAATAGTTATAGGGATTTTTATTATTTCGTTGTTGTAAATAAAGTATTTCAAACCGACTGAATGAATCTCATAGTAAATAAGTTGGTGTCAACTTTTGAGGATAGTTGTCTATCTTGTGAAAAACAAAATATGATTCTACTCGTCAGGACTACATATTAAATAAGTTGACATGATTGAGGATGTTTTTTTTACCTCAAGTGACAGATGTTAGTCAGTTATAGTGAAATCTTAATAGTTCACTTCTCATTAGAACTCATGCTGGTGGTTTTGTTCAAAAAACCAGTGAAAGCCACGCAAATAAACCATAATTAATACCTGTAACTATTCCGAAGATTAAACATCATTCCTCATTTTTTCACATTATAATGTTCAGCTACTTTAATTATCTGTTAGTACATACAATCTACAACGTTTTAAAAAATGTTATTGTTTGTGGTAAATTATTACAAACAATAATTCAATTGATTTTAGGCGGTTTGCTCGTTATGAATCGTGTCTAAACTAGCCACAACAATTCTCCACTTTGCAGTTAAATCTGTGGTAGTAACCTTCTCTGATTTGTTGCGAAATCAAAATACATTACTACTTAGTAAGTTTCTTTACTACACAGAATCATTACTTACTTACTTACTTACTTACGCCTGTTACTCCCAATGGAGCATAGGTCGCCGACCAGCTTTCTCCAACCCACTCTGTCCTGGGCTTCCTTTTCTAGTTCTATCCAGTTCTTGTCCATTCTTCTCATGTCTGTCTCTATTTCCCGGCGTAATGTATTCTTTGGTCTTCCTCTTCTCCGTTGACCTTCAGGATTCCATGTGAGGGCTTGTCTTGTGACGCAATTAGCTGATTTCCTCAAGGTGTGCCCAATCCACTTCCAGCGCTTTCTCCTGATTTCTTCCTCCGCTGGAATCTGGTTTATTGTCTCCCACAGTAACTTATTGCTGATAGTGTCTGGCCATCGGATCCGAAGTATTTTGCGTAGACAGCTGTTGATGAACACTTGTATCTTCTGGATAATGGCTTTCGTATTTCTCCACGCCTCCGCCCCATACAGTAGAACTGTCTTGACATTTGTATTGAAAATTCTAACCTTGGTGTTGGTTGACAATTGTTTTGAGCTCCAGATGCTTTTCAGTTGTAAGTATGCTGCTCTTGCTTTGCCGATCCGCGCCCTCACATCTGCATCAGATCCACTGTGTTCATGGATGATGCTGCCCAGATATGTAAAGGTTTCCACATCCTCCAAAGCTTCTGCGTCAACTGTAATTTGATTGGTGCATATTGTATTGTATCGGAGAGTCTTGCTTTTCTCTTTGTTTATATTGAGACCTACTGCTGCTGAGGCTGCCACTACACTGGTCGTTTTCTCCTGCATTTGTTGTTGCGTTTGTGATAGAAGAGCCAGATCATCCGCGAAGTCTAAATCGTCAAGCTGCATCCTGCCTGTCCACTGTATCCCGTGATTTCCTCCAGATGTTGACGTCTTCATGATCCAGTCGATGACCAGGAGAAAGAGAAAGGGTGAGAGTAAGCAACCTTGTCTAACACCGGTCTTTACTTGAAACGAGTCGGTGAGTTGTCCTCCGTGGACGATTTGGCAGTTTAGTCCATCATAGGAGTTCCGTATGATATTGACTATCTTCTCAGGCACACCGTAGTGTCGAAGAAGCTTCCATAGTGTCGTCCTGTCCACGCTATCAAATGCCTTCTCGTAGTCAATAAAGCTGATGTAGAGTGATGAATTCCATTCGATTGATTGTTCCACAATGATCCGCAGAGATGCGATTTGATCTGTGCACGATCTATCCTTACGAAATCCAGCTTGTTGATCTCGAAGTTGGGCGTCCACGGAATCCTTCATCCTGTTTAACAATACTCGGTTGAAGACTTTTCCTGGTATTGAGAGGAGAGTGATGCCTCTGTAGTTGTCGCACTTGCTCAGATCGCCTTTGTTTGGTATCTTGATGAGAAGTCCTTCTTTCCAGTCTGTTGGTACATGTTCTTCGTCCCAAATCTTACCGAAGAGGATGTGGAGTATCTTGGCAGTTGCTGTTACATTTGCTTTCAGTGCCTCTGCCGGGATGTTGTCTGGTCCCGCTGCTTTGCCACTCTTGACTTGTCTAATGGCCATGCTGATCTCTTCAATTGTTGTTGGGACAATGTCGATTGGGAGGTCCATGGGTGCTGCTTCGATGTTGGGTGGGTTCAGTGGGGCTGGTCGATTCAATAGTTCTTTGAAGTGTTCTACCCACCTGTTTCGTTGTTCTTCAATGTCGGTGATTACTTTGCCTTCCTTGCATTTCATTGGTCTTTCTGGCTTGCGGTAATTTCCAGCAAGTTTCTTTGTTGTATCAAACAATTGTCTCATGTTTCCTTCTCTTGCAGCCTTTTCCGCTGTCGTTGCTAAATCTTCCACATATTTACGTTTGTCGGTTCTGATGCTCCTCTTCACTTGCTTGTTTGCCTCTGTGTATTCGGCTTGTGCCTTGGCTTTTTCCGCTCTGGTTCGGCTGATATTGATTGCTGCCTTCTTGTTCCTCCTTGCTTCAATCTTATCCATTGTACCAACAGTGATCCATTCCTTATGATGGTGCTTCTTTTGGCCCAGAACCTCTTGACACGTTGAAACGATTACCTCCTTGATACCTTTCCAGTTGCTCTCCATGGTAGTCCCCTCTCCATTGAGTAGATCATGAAAGGCCTCGAACTTGTTGCTGAGGGCTATGTTGAATTTGTTGAGTTTGTCAGCATCTCGAAGAAAGGCCGTATTAAACTTTTGTGATGTTGTCCGCGCCGTTGTCCACTGCTTCTTGAGTTTTAGTTTCATCTTGGCGACCAGCAAATGATGATTGGATGCTATATCAGCTCCTCTCCTGGTCCTCACATCCTCCATGGTCCTCCTGAACTTTTTGTTGATGCAGATGTGGTCGATTTGATTCTGTGTAGTGTGATCCGGTGAAATCCAAGTGGCTTTGTGTATGTTTTTGTGTGGAAATATGGTGCCACCTATGACCAGTTTGTTGAAGGCACATAGGTTTGAAAATCTCTCACCATTTTCGTTCCTTCCTCCCAGTTCATGTTGTCCCATGACGTCTTCGTATCCAGTGTTGTCCATTCCAACCTTAGCATTGAGATCTCCCATCAGAATTGTCAGATCCTTGGTTGGGCACTTCTCGACGATCGACTGCAGCCTATCGTAGAATCGGTCTTTAGCGTCTTCATCGTAGTCATTGGTAGGCGCATAGCATTGGATGACGTTCATTGTAATGCCCTCTCTCACTTTTTTCTGAAGGAGGATTTGATGATCCTTGGTCCATGAGATTCCCATCCTATAAGTGCATTTTGTGCTTTTCTGGACAGCATCAATGCAACTCCTTGTGTATGTGGGGCATTTTCTTCTTCATGACCGGAGTATAACAGAAGTTCTCCTGAAGACAGTCGTTGTTGTCCAACCTGCGTCCAATGTGTTTCGCTGATTCTAAGCACCTCCAGGTTGTATTTTCTCATTTCTGCAGCAATTTGGAAAACTCTTCCGGTCTCCCACATTGTTCGGACGTTCCATGTACCTATAAAAATTGTTGCTCTGGTTGTAAGAAGGTGCACCGGCCTCATGACTTCCGAAGGAACTCGGCTTTCATCATGAGACGTCATAATTATTCCTTCTACTCCCAGGGCAGAGTTTGAAAGGTTTGAATGATTTTTTCTGGTTAGCGTTTTTTTAGCGAGTTGATTTTCTACGGGATGGGGTCGCTAACCCCATGCCCAACCCTCCTCCTTTACCCGGGCTTGGGACCGGCAGTAACCCCCAGAGTAGCTACAGGCGGAGTTTACACAGAATCATGCAATGGCTTATCTATGAAATTTGCTGTCTATAAAACAAAAAGTTTAGGCTATCAGATTTACCCCACATTTCGATCATTGCAAATAGTGTGAACTTCACATTCTGAATGACACTTAGTTAGTTCGGAGATATATTACTATTTATTCATCTCCATCGAATAGGCTAGAGAATATTTGGACTCAATAGCTAAGTAGACCTTTAAAGCGATTGGTACTAGGTTCGAATCTCAGTGTAAACATCAAAAATTGGATGTATGCACACATAGTTGACTGATCTTAAACAGGACGAAACGCTTGGTCTGTTTTTTTACACTGCCAGAAACTATTCATCATCTATCTTTTGTTGCGATTCTCAGAATCATTGAGATTTACCCATGCAAATTAACTATCTAATTGAAGCTCCTTTATATCAGACCTAAGAATAATGATCAGACTTTTGTTGGAATTGTATGGGCAGTGAAAAATTCAATACCTTGTTACAAAGTTCAGATATTGTCAACACATCTGTAATTTCCTTTCTACCACAAAATATGTCTTATTATTGGTAAATGAGAATTCCAAACGAATAATTCTTCATTAAATCTAGAACTGTTTTGTTCATTCGATACAAATAAAACACCTCATCTATCAATGCCATCAAAAGTCTATTGTACATAACATCTGTGATCAATCAATTGTAAATGTATCAATCTTTCAGGAGATTATGTACATTATGAATAGCTCAACGATAACGTTTATGTACTTAAAACCTCCACTTCCAAATAGTAACAAATATCATATAAATATCATTCTACAACAAATTCAAGAATATGAGCATGTTGATTTAATAAAATAATTACTAAAGGAAATCGATTAAAATTAAATAAATTTTGTCACTTTTTTTCTGATTAGCGTTTTTTTACCGAGTTATTTTTTCTACGGGATGGGGTCGCTGACCCCATGCACAAACTTTCTCCTTTAACAGGACTTGGGACCGGCAGTAACTCCAGAAGAGCTACAGGAAATTAACAATGTGCATCATGAGGCAATCCCTAACTCGGAATCCGGAAGGGAAGCGGAAAAGAGGAAGGCCAAAGAACACATTACGCCGGGAAGTAGAAGCAGATACGAAAAAGATGAATTACAACTGGAAAGGATTGCCCAGTACAGAGTTGAACGGAGAATGCTGGTGTGCGACCTATGCTCCTCCACGAAAGGTAGCAGGCGTAAGTAAGTAAGTAAATTTTGTCACTTTTTATTCACGTAAGACAAGAAATTGCTCGTGTGACAATCTAAAAAGTATCAGGAAATACCAACTATGTATGAACACAGACTCGGAAGTACAAATACAAACAAACACTCAGATTTATCTATTTACTAATCTCCACACACAATAGCTTCACTGATATGTATTAATGTTCAAAATTAAAATGAATATCAGTACAATACGATAAGCAACTGACACAATATGCAATCAAAAAATTTCTTTAGATTAAGCATTAGATTATTGTGCTATAATAACAATAACCAGTAAACGGACTAGGTTCCATCTGCTAGAAACTATTCAACTTTAAATAACTACTACAACTATTACAATCACTATTAGTATTACTGTAGTGAATCAGAACACGAGTGGGGACAATTGAATGTATTTAACCACAAATTACAGACTACCTCACTAAATTTTGATAACCATACAGTAAACACTTAATTTGTAAAATAACAACCAATTGTTCCAATCTTTACTGTTCCTTCTGTAAATATCAGTCCATCTTCTCTAATTCCATTGTTCATGCATTTTTCTACCAATTGTGCTTCATTTCAGTTCTTTCCTTATCAGTCTACTGCCAAAATACATTCTAATTCTGACCATCGCCATATACTACTTATATGGATATAAGTAGACCACATTACATTACTACATATTAAAATAGTAATACAGTCTTCAATATGTTAATTTTTCTCAGTTACCAATTCGAAATCAATTAACATATATACATAATATTTTCTGTTGTTTTGAAAACAATACATATTCAATAACATATCCATTGTTGTTCGAATCAGTACTCTATATCATACATTGTATTCAACATAATAGTAACATTAATGTACTACAATCATAATAATTGTACTGTGATCATTTCACAATATGAACGTAATAATCAACAAAAAAATGATAATCATCAGTGTTTGACTATTTCCACTTTTGTATAAAGACGAAATACCATTCAGATATGAGAAAAAGTAAATGGATACAATCATTTGAAAAGAAAAAAACTGTGAATACATGCCATGTCAAATAAGTATTCTCTTTGATTAACAATCAAAAACATACTCCAATAAACAAAGCTTACTAAATACATTGATTATGATTTTAGTTCATTACCCTAACAACCATTGTAAAACTGTGAAGTAGTTTGACATTACATTGGTACTGACTATTATTGTATGAATATAAAAATCAACATAGTTATAATGACATATTATACTCTGAGAATTTATGAGTTGTTTATACTTTGTAATGATTGTTTCCTCTTTTTTTGATATATATCAAAGTGATAGTTTACAAAAAGGGCCCATCATTCTATACACATATATATATATATGTTACTAACCAATTAGAACTCTTAGCTTTTATAATATAAGTATATACATCAAGATTATTCGGTAGAAAAATGAATTTCATGTGGTGATATTTATAGTGGTACATCTGAATAGTTCAATATTTACTTGACCAAAAAGAAAAACTGTTTAAAAATATTAAAAAAACACATCAAAACAGTCAATATTCAGTTACTGAATACACAAAATCTACTCATAATGCAATGGTTAATTATGGTTTTTTATTTATCTTTGATGAACTGGTTAATTAGTGATACATTGGAGTTTGAGGATACATTTGAAAATGAATATGACAGTAAGTTAAATAAAAAATAACAACAGTAAGTATGAATCATTAATTGTATTTAACATTTAGCTTTTTCTTGAGTAAATAAACTTAACAATGATTTCTGTAGTGTATTCGCTTTACTATATACTCCATATAAATGTTAAATTTTTTTATAAATGATAACTGAATAATTGACTTCACTTAGTATTGTTTGTTTGGATCTTCCCATCGATGTGTTTAGGACTGCAACTGGTCAGTCTCTAATTGGCATATGTGCATACTGTGCGTATTGCCTCGATATACCTTAATTCACAAGCATGGTAAACAGAGATGGATAGTGGCTAGCAGTGGAATCCAGGACGCGCGTTTCGTCCTATTTGGGACTCGTCAGCTGGATGTACCTGCATCTCAGAGTTGATGTTCACTCACCCCATCGCACAACCAAGTGGATATCAGGACTCAGTGGCCGAGTGGATAACGCGATGGCGTTTGAAGCGAGGGTACTGGGTTCGAGTCCCAGAGTGAACATCAACTCAGATGCAGGTACATCCAGCTGACGAGTCCCAAATAGGACGAAACGCGCGTCCTGGATTCCACTGCTAGCCACTATCCATCTCTGTTTACCATGAATAATTGACTGCTTACTTTTAAGCAAAACAAGATGATAATCTTCAAAGTTGAGATCATGAATCAATTGAAGTTAGACCATCATGAAAAACCTAAAAGCACTGGAAGGTCATTTCGTTTTAGTATAGGACTCCTCAGCAGTGGGCATCCACGATCCTGCACAAAAGGGACTCGAAACCAGAACCTATAAGTCTCGCGCGATAGTGTTTAGGCTCTAGACCCTTGAGCCAGTATCCAATGGTGTAATTGTCTAACTCCAATCAACATCGTGGATTGGTTGGAGTTATTCATTAACACCGTTGAATACCGGCTCAGTGGTCTAGGGGTTAAGTGCTCTGGCGCTAGACCGGTAGGTACTGGGTTCGAGTCATTTTGGTACAGGATTGTGGGTGCGCGCTGCTGAGGAAATCCACAATATTACGAAATGATCATGCAGTGCTTCTAGGTTTTCCATGGTGGTCTAGCATCAATTGACTCATGATTTCAACTATGAAAATACTGAAATCTCCACAAAACTTCTTCTCATTAAAAACTAGTTGAAAGATTATGAAATTTTCAGTTCATTAATAATTAAGGATACACAAGTGATTAAAGAAACAGTGGTAAAGTTGCCTGACATAACCGAATATAATAATTTTTTTGCTAAGAAATAAACGAATACTTGAAATGAAATCATCATTTATGAGACAATATAACTTAATTCGTTTTCTAAATCATAATATAACTATTTGTCTATATGAATTATTATTTGGGCTGCGTTTTTCTCATCTTTAATGATTGATATCAATCGACAAGTAGTATCTAGTTTATGTCCATTCATAACTTAATTCATTAGAATAGCTTATCTGTGAAGGTGAAACAAATCGGTAATTTCTCTATTTCTGAAAATGGACATCAACGTTTCTAAATGTTATATCCCCTGGTGAATCATGAATGGTAAATCTGAGGTCTATTATGGACAAAGGTAATATGCCTAATTCCTATTGTTTAGTTGTTAAATAACTGACCTAATTGTATTCGTGTTCCTCTTACCGTAACCTTATTTTGACCTTTGAACTATTATTATTGATTACTTTCCCCCTATCCATAGCCACATTGGCCAATTATTGTACAAATATTATTTTTCTATTTTTTGGTATATGGGGTCTGTTTGGTTAGTATATAAACCCAGTATGCTTGTGAATAATGATTCATATTTCCGAGGCTGTTATTTGTGTTCTGGACTCAACTGGCTGGGCTAGGCAGTTAGGAAGGACCGAATAGCAATCAAGACTGCTCGTACGTATTTTCCGTATCATTGCACGTTTCATATACAATAACGATTGTTATACGTTTATAACAATTGGCGACGGGGACAAAAGTGAAAAATGACGCTCCCTTCTGACCGCTTACAGTTGCTATTTGACCGACATTTGGAGTTCATGGTCAAACTACGCACACAGCTTCTGGATCACCAATGCTTTGCATACGCGTCGGAAGTGGATGGATTAATCAATGAATTTCACACAGAGCTAGCAAATGATCGCAGCCCCCATGATTCCTCGACCAGCCGCAACTCAAACGAAACAGCAGTCTCTCAAGAGACGCCCGGTTGTCCAGCACTCTCCATTTCAGAAACGTGCCCGGTAGTGGATTCAAACACCACTATCCCTGAATTAGCAGGTCCTAACAATGACGCTTTCAGCTCTCATCAATACGATGCTATGTTAAAAGCCCATAAAATGGTCGCACCAATCGCCCACAGAGTACCAGAGATCATATCAAGCGGTTCAACGAGCGAATCTCATTCTGCAATAGAAATGTCTACAGAATCTAGTGATAAAGATTCCCAAGCTTGTCCAGAAATTTTGTTACATGCATCAAATCTGGAACCTAGCGCAGTTTTGGTGGACGCTGTTTATCATACTGATCCACAACCTGCCATTGATGTTTGCAATAAGTCTGATGACTACATTTCTGCAGAATCAAATTCTGACCTCACATCAAATGTCGATCCTCACCATCCAGTCAATCTTAACGGGTTCCCTATTGAATACCAGAAACATGTTATAACTAGAATCGCATTAATAGAAACTTGGGTATATGAGGATCCAACACTATTTCGTGGGGGAGGAGGAGCTCGAAAAAAAAAATTAAAATCCGGATATCAACTCCGGATTTCTCAAAAAGGGGAGGTGTTATATCCCCTGGTGAATCATGAATGGTAAATCTGAGGTCTATTATGGACAAAGGTAATATGCCTAATTCCTATTGTTTAGTTGTTAAATAACTGACCTAATTGTATTCGTGTTCCTCTTACCGTAACCTTATTTTGACCTTTGAACTATTATTATTGATTACTTTCCCCCTATCCATAGCCACATTGGCCAATTATTGTACAAATATTATTTTTCTATTTTTTGGTATATGGGGTCTGTTTGGTTAGTATATAAACCCAGTATGCTTGTGAATAATGATTCATATTTCCGAGGCTGTTATTTGTGTTCTGGACTCAACTGGCTGGGCTAGGCAGTTAGGAAGGACCGAATAGCAATCAAGACTGCTCGTACGTATTTTCCGTATCATTGCACGTTTCATATACAATAACGATTGTTATACGTTATAACACTAAAACTAAACCACAAATAACTTTTGTATACGAACAAAATGATTTTATCAATCAATTATTTAATTGTAAAAGGTGTCCCAATGTAAGGTATTAAAATGTTAGGTTTTGCTAAGAAATATATATTACCTTTTTTTATTATACCAACTTATAATGAATCTTACAAGTTTTATATAAGTGAAAATAGATTCCAAAACATTTAATGCGAACCTATTTGTTCAGCAAATATGTATTTACGTTAAAGAAGAATGAACACCAAACTAAATAACGTACAGTTCGATTTTTTTTTAAATCTATGGAATATTAAATGTCGTCAATTAATGACAAAAATGAGGTACTGGTTTGACAAAAGACATTACATACAACTGCTTAGATAAATCTGATTTCCAGATGAATTTCACGTATTTTAGGTATCATTTTTATCACATTGTGACGATAAATAAGGAACCAACAAAAATTACCAAGTAATTTAGTTCACAATAAGTCGTCATTCATCAATATGCACTATGATAAAATATCTGTTTGCACTCACAAATTCCAGGTTTTTTGAAGGGGACAACCAACTATATTTTATTGCATAGTTATTTGGTCAAATGTGAAGACCATACCATAATACTTGAATTGAGAATGTCCCACCATTTGTCTCATTGCCATAATAATTACTCTCTGTTCCTGTTCTCTTCGATCCAATCTTCCCAACGTTTTGCTGCCAAGCTGTCCACTTCTGATTAGTGTTATAGACTACTTATGTCGGCATAAGTAACATACATCACACCTGCACTTAATTTGTTGCTATTTTCCTTAAAAATACTCAGTAATTATGTAATATTTGATATAATCAAACGTATTTTTGTATGTCATTAAAGGGAGAGGTTACTAGGAAGCGTGAAATTAATAAAACAAAATCACTAAAGCCATAGAAAACATTAATTCTATCATATTCCCAATTTACTTAGTAAAATTCCGGATATCCAAGATTTTGATTGAAACACTGATGTATTTCAAATTTCTATTCAACGGAAGAATGAATGAATCCTGATTAGTACTTTATAATCATATATAGATGTTAATTAGAGAGTCTGAAAGTAATTTATTTTCATCAGTATAAAAGTTTGCGGAGATGTTTTAGTTCAGAGATAGTGTTCATAACTGATAAGTGTTAGTTAGATAACTGTTGATATTTTATGTAAAGATTCACATACTATGACGAAATAGTTATTCAACTTCTTTCACTTGTCACTTTATCATTAATTCTTATGAATTTTCAAATATTTAATGTCATTCATTGTGATTAGAATGATGTTGAAACATTTTTCAAATTATTGATAACTTTTAATAGTTTAAAAATTATGGAATAAAAATGATATTACATAACTAGACTAAAAATAGTCACTAGGTTAGTCATTATTATTAAGAGAACAAATGAAAGTGATTTGTATAATAATTAATGACTTTACATGGAAAAAAACACTTCGTAACAATAAAATAATAAGAAATAGGAATAATGTTCAGATAATATCAGATTTATATCGAATTAAGATAAAATTAAAATTCTGGTCAAAAGAGTTACCTAACAGAGTTTATTCTGTACAAATAACTACAGTCTGAAATTCTACAGTAAAGTTCAGCTCATGGGTCAATTGAAGCTAAACCACTATAGAAAATCTGAAAGTACTGGACGGCCGTTTCGTCCTAGTGTAGAACTGACTCCAAGAGGTATTTCCTGGAGTTCTAGTACGAAGCAATGACCACTGGAATTTAACCAGGTCTGTTGTGAGATAGTAACTCACTGAAG